CAGTCATGTTTTAGGTCCTTTTATTGGAATAAAATCAGGGATGGGTGTGGTTGTAGGGTCTCCAATGAAAGGCAAACCAAGGGGAATGGATATCATTCTTTTGGGCTGATTTGGGGGGGGATGTGTTCAGCCAACTAGGGGGGACAAAGGGAAAGGATAATGTGTGGTACTTTGGCTGCATATATGAGGATTTATTTGGTGGTTAAAGGGTTAAGAAAGTACCATGTTTCTCCTGGAATTTTATGGTTGTTTAGTGGGTTGTACTAGGGAACATAGTAGGGACCATGTTGGGTGGATGTTGGAAGATGAATGGGGCTGTTTTGGTTTCCTATTGTGACCAGAGATTAAAATAGATAGAAGAGACTTTATTTTGGATATCAAAAGGAAATGAAATATATTTGGATGTTTAGGGTTGGGTTGGACGGAGTGGGGGTTGGCTAGCGGAACCCTTAGGTCAAAACGAAAGTTATTTTGGCCTTTCGGGCTAAAGGACTTTGAATTCTCACTAAAATGGATCATAAGGTTTGAACCTAAGTCCTTTGGTTTCCATGAGGGTGTGGGATCTGGGGGAGGGTATGATAGGGTCGGGCCTAGATATATCATCATCAAGGTGATGACATGATGTAATCAAAATAATGTGACCATGATGATGTCATGACTCTAGATGACTACACAATTAAGACTGAATTCTCATTACCCGAGAGTTGAAAGGGACTTGTTTATGTTAGCTGCTTCTTTCAAACGTTCTCCATCTGCCCCAGAACTTTTCTGCCTAATGATTTGAAACTTTGAGTATGCAGACTGGTAGAAGCATTTAGATGTCATACATTTAAACCAAATATCACCTTTCAGAACCAGCTAGGTCCACTAAATTCAACTTTCCAAATCTGAAGTGTTTCATAGAATCTTTCTCCCAACAGCTTTCAATGTTACAAGTGAAAACACTATGGGATCTGCTGCTCTCGCTGTTCATATGAGTAGCTGCCATTTTTCTATTTGATGCCCCCTGGGCAAAAACAAGGCATGAGCATTGAGACATTATGGTGCTTAAAGTGTTTGTAAACAAAGGGAAAGTGCTATGTCTCACCTGTAGCAAAAATCTGAGAACATCATCAACACAGGTTGCACTGACTTCAGTAAGGTTCTCGACATAGACCCCCTTCTTCGCATCCTCTCTAAGCTACAGCATAAAGTGAAAACTTGAGTCTGTGTGTGTGTGTGATGAGACATATAGATGATGAATAAGTATTAAGTACATAATTGCTTACATGAAGATTAGTTGATGATGGCTCCAGAAGGTCTGTAATTTGTTCATTATACATCTCTAGAAAAGAACATTTGCAGCTGAACTTCAACCTCTCACTCTTTTGTTTCTCCTCTTCCTTCAAGAGCATGGAGTTCATAAGAACAAAATGGAACAACTGCACATCAATGGGTGACACATCGTATAACTTTTATGTTACCTCTCTAATTCTAGTGAATAAGTACTCAAAGATCCGAGGAGTTATCCCTCTGTGATCATTAAGGTTCCCACTCATCTGACCTATTTCACCCATCATAGTGTATGTCTTACCACTTCCTGTCTGCATTATACCACCACTAAGTCAAAATCAGATCAAACTACCAATAATATAAGAAAAATCTGCATTGCAACATACCTGACCATATGCAAACATACAACTGTTGTATCCAGACATACAGTTCTCCACCATGGGATTCCCAGCAACACAGAAGAGTTTTTCCTGTTTGAAATTTAAAACTCACAACAATTTGAATAACCTATTCCCAACTGTATAACATCATTCATCAACTAACGAATAAAAAGCATGAACAAATTAACACGGTCTTGCATTAATACGTAGACAAGTAATCAGCACCTGTGATAAGGATTCACAAGCAACATGATCAAAGGTGAATCTAGTTTCAGGGTGGCCAAGCCAAACTAGAGTCTGCTCACTCTCTTGCCTCAAACATCTACCGTATCCTTGAGTCGCTCTCTCAACATCACTTAGCGGTCTTATTCTAATCAAAACCTGCACAAAGTGTAAACTAAAATATTATTCAAATTGATCACAGTCAATATGTTCCTAGCTACTTTAACTGATTTCTACTCTCTCCAAAACAAAGGATGAACAAACCTGCACACTATGATCTCTCCAAAACGATGGATCCTCTGCTAGTTCAAAATGTGGCACTTCAACTGAATTCTCCAAGCTCAAGAGCGGAATCCCTCTTGTAACTCTAGAGGTGAAATTGCTCCCTTTTCCTCCCGGAGCACGGATGATTGAAACTCTCCTTGCAGTTGCGGGAGTACTTTGAACTGAGCTCGTTTCCGGAAGAGCTTTCCCTTTGTTAGCAGAACCTGCCGTTCCATTTCTAGTGCCAAAAACGGCTTGGAAATTCGACGAACGAGGAGGTGGAACCACATCTGGCTTTTCCACCAGAGTCTGGTCGAGTTCTTCACATTGAGATGGATCTGGAATGGAGTTGAGCGGCGTTCGCGAAGGAGGCAACGGAGTCGAGCTAAACTGGAGCTCAAATTCATTCTCGTTGTTCTCTAATCTGGCCGGCTTCGAGATTGATCGAACAGATGAAACCTCTTTGGACATTTTTTAGCACCAAATCGTGAAATCCCAGCTCGCACTCGCCTCTCTTCAGAGAAGAATTTGGGCATGGAAATGGGATGAGTTACACATGCGCTCGAAGTGCGTCGAAGGTGAAGAGGATGAGGAGAAAGAAGGCTGAGGAGAAATGATGCTACGCTCTGCAACTTGAAATCGTGATGGGAGAGTTACAGACTTGCTGCAGCTGATAGAGATGGAAGACTACAGCCCGCTCTTTTTTTCCAAGTTCAAACTCAAACGTTAGATGGATAGAATCTTATGTGCTGCTGCTCCACCTTACTCAATCCATTCTAATCTAATGATGTCAAAAGTTTGATTAAATATATAAGACACAAACAAAACAATCATAAAACTTATAATCTTGCCAAATATGTAAAATAAATTCATCAAGTAATGTTATAAATTGGGATTTATGAGGTAAATTTGTGTATCTTTTGCAATCATTTTATTTATATATTGTTAAATCAAAGAATATTTTATTTTACCAAATAATCGATGAAAACACACAAATAAACAAAAATTATCGAAAGGAGGGAAAAAATTTTAAATCAACTTTGTACTGATGGTAAGAATGTTAAACTTTATATTGATGGTATTATATCTTTTTGGACAAGGATATTCGTATTACCCAAACCGGTTATGAAAAAGATTATGACAATTTGCAGAAACTTCTTATGAGAGAATTCCTATAAATATGTTAAAGTGTGATTGGTAAATTGGAGATAAGTTTATCGGAAGAAGAGTTTGGAGGGTTGGGGATCAAGAATGCATTAAACTGGAACAAAAAATATGTATTATGGGTGAAATGGATTCATAGCAAATACATTAAAGGAGCTGATTTTTGGGATTATACTCCTAAAATGGATGATTTTCATTACTAGAAAGAGATGGTCAAAGTAAAAGAAAACTTTAGACACATGCTTAAGATTAAAGAATAGAATGTAAGGGATGGATATGATTATATGAATGGTCACAAGGCACAAGAGAGGTACCAAGGTGGAAAGATATTGTGTGGAAAACACCCTAAATATGAGTATAAAAAATATCAAAATATGAGTTTTATATTTTATTTCTTAAATAAGAGTTCATACTATGTAATTTGGCATTGTACATTTTACTATACTTTTTGGTAATATAGATTGTCATGATTATTGATAATGTAAATGTTTTTTAACTTAAACTAGTATCACACTCGTGTGTTGCACGACTCCATTTATATTATTAAATTATCTTCAGATCATTATTAAAGAATAGAATATAATATATAATAGAATATAAAGTTTAGTAAAAGATTAAATATGAAAATTTTATCTCTATCACAGTGGAATATGTAATACTAATATTGATAAAAATTACATTTATTTTACAATCTCATAATAAATGTGAAACTTATTTTTTACTTATTGAACATCTTTTGAATGAGTTTAAATTTTTAAATGAATGAGATATTGCCCATTATTAAATCTTATTTTGGTTGTCCTTACAAAACAATCGTTATTCAACACTATTTGAATTCTTACCATTTATAGATAAGTATTTTTTTAATTTTTCATTCTAGTTTATTTCATCAATTGATTTATTTTCATTTAAAAATATGTACTATATACTATGTTGAATATTTATTTCTTGCCATTTTTAGATGATTGTGTTTATAATAAAATATATATTTCATCTGTTGATTTATTTCCATTTATACTAAAATTTGTACAAAAATATACTATGTTGAATATTTACTTCTTGCTATTTTTAGATGATATTTTTATACTAAAAATTAATTTTTACTCGTTGATTTATTTACATTTATATTAAAATTAACTATGTTGAATATTTATTTCTGAATATTTTCCAAAAACAAACCCTATTGCAAGGCTATTTACTAAACTATTTATAAAAATATATACTAAAGAAAAGACACTTCAAAGTGAGATAAGGATATCATTTTTGAAAAAAAAAGACAGTGGAGGTAAAACTTTGAGAAAAAAAGCCAATAAGCACCTGCACAACGAAACACCCCCATAATAAACTCATTATATAATAAACAGTTCATATATAACAAATTTTTCTAAGATAAATCTAGACCTCTCAATATATAATAAAAAGCATATATACAATGAAAAATAAAAATAAAAATAATATTATTCATTTCCCTTAAAGAATCTTTGACCGTGACTAATAAAAATATTTATATTTATTTATTAATTAAAATTCATATATAACAAATTTTCCTATAATAAATCTAGACCATCCCTAGAAACTTTGACCGGGATTAATAAAAGTATTTATATTTATTTAATTATAAAAGTCTATATACAACAAATTTTCTTAAAATAAATCTAGAAAACAGCTAAAACCTTTGATCATTATAAATAAAAATATTTATATTTATTTTGTAACACCCGCCTTCCGTGGACTCGGTTCACCCGCGACCCGACGGACCGGTAGGGTTACATGGACAGTCCGAGAACCGTCCGTTACAAAAACATTAATGATTATTTAATATGAAACGGTTGGGTTTAATTGATGGGATATTAATGACTATTTATTATGAAAACGTTTATGTTTAATTGGTGAAATAAATGTTAGGAGTTATTCCCAAAACGTGTGAGTTATAAATGCAGAGTAAAAGCGGAAGTAAATAAATGAGTAAAACGACAAATGGTGGGTTCATGCCCAATTGATTAATTAAACGTATTTAATTATTAAACTTGTCCATGTGCCGCCCATCTTCCCACCATCACTGTCCTCCAGGGTTAGCACCTGCACCGTCATGCCTACCTGCGTGTAGCAAAAACAACTACACGCTCAGCAAAAGCTGAGGAGTGAGTCTAACAAAAGAACATGAAGTGATAACCCATATGGTTATACACATATAAATACATGTACTTAACGTACGGAAAACCACATGTTTGCTAACTGATTAATTTGCACTTGATGGATATTATTACACATAACAAAATGAATAACAACCACATTGAATATGGACATGATGGGAATCATACATGATGATGACAACCACATTGAATGTTGACGTGACATGAAACATACATGATGACAATATGACTTGATGCATGACTTAAGTTATTAGGGACACCCCTGACTTAGTCTCACTTGACAGGATCACCCCTGCACTCCGGTAATGACCCGGGCTCGACAAAACGTCGCAAGTGAACTAGCAAAAACCGGGTGGTAGCCGTAGCCTGACTACCATGTACGTACACAAAGCCCACCTGATGAAAACCCGTTGGATCCCAAAGGTTCCTAGACGGGCCCACTGTAGTAGGCGCACGAAAGCCTGACCTCCCTACAGCGGTATGCACATGATGATAAAAACCTAGGACATGCGTCTAGAATGAACATGATGAATGCTTGATATATTTACCTTTGGTCAACGCCAAGAATATATCAACTAAATAACATACATAACAAATATTAACATTTCATGCAAACATACATTCAGATTTCGAGTCAAACTTGTCAAATGGGGCTCGTTTTACAAACTTCCCGAAATTTTGCCTGCGAAACGGTCGACCGTACCCTACCGGCAGTCAACCGTGGGCTATGGTCTGGGGTCTGGGTCTTAGACGGTCCACCGTGGTCTTCCGCCATGGATGACGATCGACCATCCCGGCGGTGACCGTTGGACTGGCCGAGGGTACGGTCCACCGTCTGAAGTAACGGTCGACCATCCCGGTGACAGTCTTCTGTCTTTGGCTACGTTTTGATCCATTTTGCAACCTTAACACCTTGATTCTTTTTAGAACAATAATACAAACATTGATGAATATATTCCTAGTGATTCCTAGGCCAATATTTATAAGTTTTACGCAGTGAACGTTTTGATGGCTAATCTATGAACATGCATAGATTCTACGTAGGTTGCGTACGATATTGCTATGAGTATAACGACATAGATTATAACTAAATGTTCTAGAATTAGAGGGGGCAACTACTCGCCTCTAAACGATGGGGTTGATGAAACGGAAACGAAATGAACGAACGGTTGACAACGTTGAACGACGAATGGTTTCTCGTGGACTCCTCCTTCTCTTCTTCCTCCTCGTCTACTCGCCGGAATCACCTCTTGAGCTGTTGTGGTTGGCCGAAAATGCAATGGGAGAGGAAGAGAGTGGAGTGTGTGAGTGGGAGTTACAACTGTGATGGAGAAAATGAAGAGGAAGGGGCTATTATATTGAATATGTATTGATGAGGATTAATGGACAATTGAATGGGAAATAATGGTTTGTGCATGTGGGGAAAATGAAGGGTGTGGGTGTGGCGTGGGTTTTTGAAGGAAATTAAATGAGGAGTTATCTCCCTAATTTCTATTCCGTTGTGTAAAATCTGACCTGTACGGTACGCGGTTTCCCCCCCGAACGGGTCCGAATTGAGATCCGTTTACGTTTTGGAACCAGACAGTCAAAATGCATTTAATGACATGTTCAAATAATTTTTCTAAGAACTTTATTTTCAAATTTCCGGGTCCACCCCAATCATTAATTAATTCATTTAGTTAATGTTGAGTGGTCCGTTATTAAAACATTTTTTTATATTAAAAAAACATTAGCTTTGGAAAGCCACTTAAAAAGATCGAAATCTCAATACTTATTAAAATAATGAGTCTCAATATATAAATAATATTTATTTACTTAAAACTAGGCCGGTTTGTAGGGCGTTACATATTTATTTATTTATTAAAGTCCACATGTAACAAATTTTTCTTAAAATAAATTTAGACCACCCACTGCAATTAAATGATGATGGTGTTAATCTCAATATATAATAAGCTCTTTATATTAGAAAAAATCCATATATAACAAATTTTCCTAAGATCAATCTAGACCTCTCTATATATAATAAAAAGCATATCTATGATGAAAAAAATACAAATAATAGTATTATGCATTTCCCTCCTAGAACCTTTGACCGTGATTGATAAAAATATTTATATTTATTAATTTATTTATTAAAATTCATATATAACAACTTTTTCTTAAATAAATCTAACCATCCCTAGAAACTTTGACCTTGACTAATAAAAATATTTATATTTATTTATTAAAGCTCATATATAATAAACTTTCCTAAAATATATCTAGATGCACGACTATAAATTTCGACCGAGATTAATAATAATATTTATATTTATTTATTAATTAAATTATAAAGTCCACATATAACAAAATTTCCTAAAATAAGTCTAGACCTCTTCATATATAATAAAAAGTTTTAACACGTCTTTATTAAAGTCTATATATGAAAAATTTTCCTAAAATAAATCTAGACCAACTTTTAGAAACTTTGAAAATGATTAATATATAGAAAATATTTATATTTATTTATTAAAGCCCATATATAAAAAAAATTCCAAAAATAAATCTAGACCGCCCCTAGAAATTTGACCGTGATTAATAATAATATTTATGTTTATATTTATTTATTAAATTTTATATAAAACATGATATTCTTCCCTAAAATATATCTAAACCTCTCTATATATAATAAAAAGTCAACACATCCATGGGCGGAAAAATTGGTCAAAGAATTCACCTCTTTTTAAATAAAGTATAGATTTTAATAAAAACATACTTCGTAAAAAAGATAATAAGTGGGGTAAAAAAATAAGTTGGGGCAGTGTCTATTAAGAAAAAAATAACGGGGGAACTGAATGTTTTTTAATAAAAAATGATTCATTTAGCAATTCAAACCTTATCTAACTCTTATTTGCTAGAATTTGACTAGGGGCAAGTGCCCCAATAGTACTTAACGTGATCTAGTTGGTTTACCATTTGTACCATGTCCAGGCTAGGGACTTGCTTGAGGCCATATAAAACTTTGTTCACACAAGATCTAATAATATGGTTGGGATGAGTTTTGAAACCTTTGTTAGCTTATTCAGGCACGTCCCTGTATAATACTCCCTCCGTCTTAAAACTTTCTTCCCAGAGCACTATTCCAACTTTACGGGAATTTATATTTATTTGTGTTTTTCATGGCCTATATGATAAAATAAAATATTCTTATCACCACTTGTTTTGTTAAACTTTTGATGTAGTTTTTAAATATGTATGTTTTATTTTTTATTTCTATACCAATATTTGAATAAAATAGATTGAAAAAATTTGAGATTTTTCTTCGTTTTACGCAACGGGAAGAAAGTTTTAGGACGGAGGGAGTACAAACATTTAGATAGAAATAAAGCATTTGAGATAAAACAAAATTTATTAGACAATTTATGTTTTACAAAATTGATTAAATGTTCATCATGAATTTAAAAAAAATCAAGTCTCTTTATAATTTAAACTAGTATTTTAACCCGTGCCTTGCATGGGGTGGTATAAAATTGTTTGTGATTCTACAATATGAAGTATTAAAATAACTTAGTTTTTTCTGAGACATATCATTTAAACATCAAATATAAATGATCTAGATTTATTGAGTTTATACAAACCTATAATTTTTCTTCCCGTATAAATTAAAAAAATACAAATAAAACATTAGTGATTCTATGAATCTTTTTCCCATCATAATTTTTTTTAAAAAAAAACTTGAATTGCCTATCTTATGATTCTACAATTAAAAAACATGATTTTTCTCTCCCACATTAATTGAGATTAGAAAAAAACATAATTCTCCCGACCCTCGCATTTAATACAGAAACTGATTCATCTTTACCGCATTATTTAAAAATAAAATCTTGGATTAGCATCCTATGACTCTATAATTAAAAATATTAATTTCAAAAAAATTAAAATACAACAATTCTTCTCCCTCGCATCAATTTCGAAAAAAATATTAATAGAAAAAAGTAGTGGTACAATGATTCTGGAGGGGAATTGAGAAAGATTAAAATAGAAATAAAATATATGAAAATAACCAAAATAGAATATTTATGTTTTTATTTGTAAAATAAGAACCATAATGTCAATAAGACCAACATATAATACAAAAATTTCAATAAAATGTCAATATACATTGTTCCATTGTCACATTGTATTCCAATAGTACCATTTTGTAGATAAAAACATGTGACTCTTATTTTTGTAATATTTTTTACTTCTATTTTTGGTTTATTCCTGAAAGGAAATTTACAAAAAAATGACAATTTTTTATTAATTTTATTATCTTTTGCTTCAAAATGCAAATTTATTCAAACCCATAGTAGCATTCTGATCAATACAAAATATTTTAACAAAATATAAATATTTACAAATTGGAAATTATATTTTCTCTTTGATGTGCTAGTATCCAAGTTTTGATCTTATTCATTTTTGCACCTTGGATCTTTTTCACACTTTTTCTTTCTTTATTGATTGTCTTTACACCTAGATCTTCATTGCCACAGATTTACATCTTGATCTTCTCTATCACAACTAGACTCGAACCCGTGCGTTGCACGGTTTAATATTAATTATATAATTAGGGGAAACATTGATATAATTAAGAGAAACATTTTGGTTTTAGCAAAGATACGTAGTATACATCTAATAGGATGCATTTTACCATTAATGATGTAAAGGGAAGGATACAACTATAAGTTTTGGAAAACTTCCTTATAAACTACATTTGCTGTTTTATTTAATGTCGCATGATCTTCACTATCAATCAAAATCTTTAATCCACTGCGATTCGTGACTCGTGATAATCCCACGTAAAGTTGTATATGACTAAACACATGTTTCTTTAGTAATAGCCCAACATGCGTCAATGATTGTCCCTGACTTTTATTAATTGTCATAGCGTAAGATATCATAATCGGAAATTGTTTCCTTTGAAATTTAAAAGGAATTCTGGTATCCGATGGTGTAAGCAACAATCGCGGGATAACCACTTCTTGACCAACCCTGTCAAGATCTTACCTTGAATTAGATGATTGCCAAGTCGTATAACGATCAACCTTGTTCCATTGCACAAACCTGACGACTGGTATCCGATGGTGTAAGCAACAATCGCGGGATAACCACTTCTTGACCAATATTCTTCCCTGTCAACCACAGATTTACATCTTGATCTTCTTTATCACAATTGTTTTTGCATACATCTGTGTCATCTCTCTCCGTCTCATAGAACACTATCGTATGTAGTTTCTATGTGCAATTATGCAAATGAAAAAGTAGGATGAAATGAGTCATCTCTCGTCCAATTTTTTTTATCTTCATGCATAAATATGGTGAATAATTACACGATATTAATTTATTAATATTAGGCTACACCTTAGGAAAATGGTAAGTTACTTATTTGATTTAAATACTTGGCTATTTAAATAGTAGTCAAATCATTTCTTGTTTTATATAATTTTAAAATTGAGATTAAAATATATATTTTTTATTTTACATAAATGTTTAAATAAATAGAGTAAAAACTAACTTCATTTCGGCATATAATAAAAAATATGAAACTTATTCAAAGTATTATTATAAATGAAGTGAACAAAAAATATAATATTAAGATAGAATACTCTAATAAAGGATATGAACTCATTAAATAATGTTTTACACAATTTAAAGTTGAGTAAAAATAAATTAACTTTATATTTTTATTTTTTAGAATGAAAAATATAGTTACAAACTTAGATTTTTAGAATTCAGATCATTCGCAAGAGCAGGTGCAGTGTTGGACTTCGAGTCGGATAGAGTCTAAGACACGGGTAGAATGTGGGTGACATTTAATTAACAAAGGATATTGGTGAATGACTTGAACTACGATCTGGCTTTTAATATTTTACAATTGTTGAGTCACCAAATTTTAAAGATTTGTATTTTCACAACAAGTAATTTGATCTCGTCCGAATTTGACCCTAAGGACTTTGCGATATAATACGTATAAAATTCGTAAATACGTTTGGGGTAAAAAATACGTGCATGATACGTTCCTCACATTAAAAATTCGTATTCGGGAGTATAATACATGTATCACGTATGAGTGTGTAATACGCGTATTATATGACGAATAAGCTAGTAGAGTTTGAAATCCCAATGACTAGGTGGTTATAGACAATCTTTGTATGATGTCAAGGAGAAAGATATTTTTGACATCAAGCTATCGAATAGGATAAGATACCCCGTGATATGGTGACACTATGAATAATACGAATGGTGAACGACTTGACCACAAGGCTAAATGTCTCAACAAAGCCTACTCTACGGGGTTAAATATCTCAACAAAGTCCACCTAATAGCGAAGTCTACATGGCAAAATATACAAAAATAATTTTATTTTTATGGAAAATAAATTCTTTTTTCTAACTGATTATTTTTATCAATATATTTTAGAATAATTTATGGAATTTAATAATTTAAAAAATCTAAATACTGAGTATCAGAATGCATTAAAACCTATAAAATGAATTCTATGTAAAATTAAATTTATTTGTTAACATACTTCATTGATTTTTCAAAAACTATGATATTTCATGTAAAATCAAGACAATCCATTAAATATATCATCTTAATTGAAAAAAACCATTGTAGAAAAATACTTAGTTAGATAGAACTCTTTTGATAACTTATTTTACGGCATGAGCAATTTAATTAAACAAACAAAACAAATTAAGTTTTATAATAGAAATAGTTTTTGAAAAATACACAAGAAGAGGGTTTTAATTTGAAAAAGCATCTTATTAGAGAAGATTAGAAGAAGAAGAGTGGTAAACTAATTTTTAAATGTCCTTTTATTTTTAAATGGTACACTAATTTCTAGACCACTTTGTCCAAATGTCCACTGTTGGTCATTCATTCGTCCTGGTTCGTTTGACTTCACAACTGAACAAGGCAACGAGCTACAGCCTACAACACCTGCTTAGCTTTGGTGTCTCTGTTCAAGTGCGTCGACGGGAGCTGAAGGCCGCCGTCACCGCCGCCATCGACGCCGCATCTGTAAACTTCGCGAAATGGTGAAACGTCGTTTCTTGGCACAATCTGTTTCTCTTCGCTAGAGCATCCAATCACACAGATCTGCTGCTCCCTCTGACCAGAGGAATTACCCTAGCCATGATCTAGGTAAAGTTCTTTCTCCCCATCCTCTCGTTTACATTATCCAGAGAGCGCAGATCTCGAGCATTGCCTCGTAACGCATGCTGGCTGCCCTGTATAACTGGTTCCCTTTTTTGACATTTTAGTGTAGTACAAATCCATCACCTTCTAATTTCACCTGCCTCATGTGTAGCATCGAGATCCATTTCCATGCAATGGAGAGTTCTTCCCCAAATGGATATAGATTTCGGAGAATTCCTCGCCACTCTATAGCTGCCCCTCTGAATTTAGACCCACTGGTGAGTTTGGATTTCTTCTTTCTCTTTCCATATCCCTTTCTTCTTTCCACCTGGTTTCTAAACAATGTAATCTTTTGGTAGCACATTTTACACATACTAATTTAGAATTTTCATGCTGTGTTCCAAAGGTTTTGGGTTAAAATGTGAAAAATGAGATTAGACACCTTTAGAATTTTCACACCGTGTTCCAAAGATTAGACACCTTTAGAATTTTCACACGGAGGGCCTTTAATCTTACAACAATGCGTTTGAGACACCTATGGTGCTCCGTTCATAAAATTGATTGTTCCTACCCCCTAACCCCCCGGTTAATCCTTTCAACTCGGCCTGGTCCTAATGCATTCATGCACCCCCTCCAAGTGCTCCACTTTTTTTTTGTCAGAAATTTGAAAAAGTCAACAAAATCAAACTTGGCTCAATTGTAGGGGTGCGGGATGCGTTAGCGACAGGCCGGGCTGGGAGGGGGTTTACGTGGGGGTAGGAACTACCAATTTTAAGAATGGGGCACCGTAGGTGTCCCAAACGCATTGTTGTAACATTTGTTGTAAAAAAGTTGTAAGATTAAGGGCCCTTTTATATAATATAAATATAATGACTCTTTTAGCTCCATTATGTATATATGTGTGTGTGTTTTATATATATATATATATGTATATATGTATATATGTGTGTATATATATATATAATGGAGCTTTAAGAGTTATTATTGACAATGTTTTAGTTTTGGGCACACTATGGGCTAAATCAAAATGGAACATTAAACTACCCTTCTCGACAATTAACCAAACAGAATAAGCTTTTGTGGTACTTTAATTACTTAGTTAATTATATATGCTAGAACAGTCACGAAATCTAAAAATTAAAAGTATAAAGGATGACACAATAACCAAATAACATAAGTTTTGGCAGGATACTCAAGTCACATAGTTTGTTATATATAGATTTGAACTTTTTTTTTTGTAACTTGAGGTTTTTTTTTAATTTTTTTGCATTATCAATGCAGCTTGATGAAAACTTGGAGCAGTGGCCCCATTTAAACGAACTTGTTCAATGCTATAGGTCTGATTGGGTAAAAGATGATAGCAAGTATGGTCATTATGAGAGTATTGGCCCTGCTTCATTTCAGAGTCAGGTATTTGAAGGTCCTGATACAGATATTGAAACAGGTAAGATTGGCAAAACTATTGGATACCTCGCTTCTAAATTGTGTTTTACGTTCACATGTGTTAAATAAACTAAAAGTCATATCTGAATAGTTGAAGCAAGTTCATAAACTGCTGAGAAAAGTTGGCAAATATGTCTAGTAGATGCTTTTGTTAGTCATTGTGTCTATGATAAATACAGGAGGCCAAGCTGAAGGCCAAATAAATCAGGCCCTTTGCTTGAGATTGCCCATTTGAATTTCTCATGGAAACTGTGTTCTTTGGCTCCCTTGGATCTTGCTAGCCTCTTGATAGATACCTCGTGCTCCCAAAAGTTTCATTGATGTGTAGTTTGCATCAAGCTTAAATTTTTAGTTAAGTGAAGTAGGCATGTAGCTGAATACAACATGAATAAAGGATTCTCAGAGTGTGGTAATGATTTTTGCAATAACTTTTTTGCACCATAGTATCACTTTTCTCATTTTGGAGCATTTGCAGAGATGCATCTTAGCAATGCAAGGCAAACTTTGATTGATGATTCATTTGAGGGAGAAAGTTTAAGTACATCTGGGGTGCCGTTGACGGCTAGCTTTTCTGATTTGTCAAATGCAGAAGTGTCTAAGGTTGGTCTGTATGTGTTATTCTCACATTTTAATCTCACACACTCCATCACATGATAATCTTCTATGTCTTTTAACAGTCTAGATCAATTACTTGCAGCATTTTGGTGAATCTCCTTTACCTGCTTATGAACCTGTTTATGATTGGGAAAATGAAAGATCGATGGTATTTGGGCAGAGGACTCCTGAAGCTCATATGTCCCAACACACTAGGTTTTAGAAGTACATTTCAACTTTTATTTGTCTTCATTTCTCGTGCTTCCAAGTCTCTTATTTCGAACATATTTGTGTGGTTTTAGTGGACTGAAGATTGCCATTAGGGTTCTATCCTTGTCTTTCCAAGCAGGATTAGCTGGTGAGGCTGTAACAGCGTAACCATGATTCCAAATACCATTAATAGCTTCTACATCTCATCATTACTTTTGTGATTCTAATCAATCAACACTTCTAAATTCTAAATGTTTCTTTCAGAGCCATTTCATGGGACAATTTGTTTATATAATAGGGAGAGAAGAGAAAAACTTTCAGAGGATATTCTTTTCCAAATATTACCAGCAGAGCTGCAGGATGTAAGCTTTTGAAAAGATTACTAATTTAGTATACTGGATCTTACAATGCAAACTTACTATTATTCTGTTCATTGTGATGTCATTACCAGGCGAGCACTCAGGAGCGGCGTTCTGTTTTTCATCTAGAAGCCCCATCATCATCAATTTGCCTATTAATCCAACTAGAAAAACCTGCCACTGAAGAAGGCGGGGTGACCCCCGCTGTATATTCACGAAAAGAATCAGTAAGTGTATCCACTTTTATAAACATAGGAGCCGTCGAGGGACTGGGGTAATGTTGTTGTTGTTATTGGTTAAAGTAAAGCATTAATTTGTGAAAATCAAATCAGTTTAATTCTACTATTCTAGGCCGGTCAACTCAGACACTTCAAAATTCTATTTTTAATAAATTATCTCCTAGTTTGTAATTTCATCCATTTAAGCTACAATATAGAAAACTCACAATGTGATATCAACAAATTTTAATAAATTTAAGTTTAATGTATGACTTATTATTTTACTCTATTTCTTTGTTTCTTTTTATAGCAATTATGTTTCTAATGCTAACTATTATAGAGTATTATTAAAAATCAAGCCAAAATACATAACAGTTCAGATCTCATTGTTCTAGCTGACTAGTGTGAGTTTAGAAATATTTCTTTTAATATGCTTATTAAAAATTAATAATAATAAATTTATTACTATTATTAATGCTTCCTATAAATAGTAACAATATAGGGAGTAAATTTTTTGAAAAATATGATAGTTTATATCTTTTGAATGCGAGGAGAAAAGAAATTAGCTATAATGAAAATTACGGTGTACAATTTAAATCATTTATTGCTTTCTTATATTTACACTTGTAACCTAATTTGTTAATATTTTCTATATAAGAATTTAATTAAAGCCTAACTTTTTCTTTAAAAAAGTACGTAGTATCTAGTATTTACAACTTATATGAGTGATGAAAGAAAAGTGAAGAGTTAAGTTAAAATGTAATTCAGATCATTTACTTTAATGAAAGTTAATTACATCAAACCATAGGTTAAAAATATAAAATTTCATAATAATTATTATGAAATTCTAAGAGATATCCAAAAGATTTAAGCATTTTAGAATTTATCTAAGGTATAATGAAATAAAAATTATGAATTAATTGTTAAAATTCCGAAATAGGCATTTAATAAGGTATTTTATTACTTGTTATTTAAGTGGTCAATATAAGAGAATTATAAAATTTAAAAACTTATAGTGAGAGAACTTTTGGAAAAAAAGAAGAGTGTTATAGTTAAATATTAAAGTTTCACTAAATTAGTATAACAATGATATCACTGCATCGTATGACCATTTACTATGTTGAAATAGTTGACAGTAAATTTTTATACAAATATTAAAATAAAGGCATACATTTTGGTATGAAATGGAAAAATATCAATATTAAAAAAATAAAAAATGATTTTTTTATTTTTGAAAAACGATGCACACGTATTAAGATTTATATACGTTTTTTTAAAGTAATAGAAGGTGAAGAGTTTTAAAAATTTATATAAAGTGTTTTTTTTTGAATTACTCGCTTTTATGTCAATTAAAAAATACAGAGAATTTTTTACTATGAATATTTTACAATAGTAATAATACATTTTGGTATAGCTGTTAGAAAGTGAAGAGTTTAATACAAAATATAACAAACTTAATGGTTATTCAATATATGTGTGTGCATGTATACACACACACACATGTGTGTGTGTGTGTGTGTGTCTATATATATGTATGTATGTATAGATACTCAGTCACACATATGTTGAATAACCATGAATTTTGTTATATTTTGTATTAAACTCTTCACTTTCTAACA